TGAGTAGCATTTATTTTAATATAAAATTGATATACATTAGACTATTAAAAGTTAGTGGCGAAACGGGAGGGGGAACGTTCCCCCTACTAGATCCGCGCCTGAGGTAATATGAATGTATTTCACCTGATTTTTGTCTTCCCCAGACTGTCGAAATCCTGATCCCATGACATGGAACACACCATTTCTCTAAATATAATAATAATAATAATAATAAAAATGATTATTAATGTTTCGCATCATGTACAGTATAACATAAGTTATACACAGTGCCTTTGGAGACTAATGCATCTAGTAATCTACGCATGGGCATTCAAAACTATCGAGTACCTACTTACAGTATACCCTTAAAGGCCAACTCAGACAGCGTCGGCCGACGCAGCCCGACGCGATTTGTTGTCGCGTCGGGTCTGTGTGAGTTGAACGCAGACGCGATGGTGTGCGTCGGGGGCAGTCGCGTAGTAGAATATTAAACGTGTTTAATATTTCTCACGACGGCTTAAGACTGTCCTCGACGATAAATCGGGTCGGGCTGCGTCGGCCGACGCTGTCTGAGTTGGCCTTGTAGAGGGACAATGAATGTGATCTACCCCAGACTTAAACCCAAAATCTTCAATTTAGTGCATGGTCAAAATTTATTCGACATTGTTTGGAATTCACATGTTTGTAAATTGTATCATAAAAGACGAAATCCAGGTCTTCAAGAATAAGCTATAGTCGTTGCTGATACCGGTATATTATGTAGAAACGTTAACATTCATTCTCCCATTTCCTCCCAATATAGGTCTGCAATACTGTTTTACTTCATTGGGTAATATCAAAATGTAGGCCTATATATTTATTTGATCTGTTAATTCATTGATTGATCAAATGATTGATTGATTGATTAATTAATTGATTGCATGAACTAATCAGCAAATGGTTTTTAGTATTTCAATGTATCGGATGAAAAACAACATATATATAGAATATGACTTGGTTAATTACCGGTATCAGATTCATAATATTATAAACAATGTTTGAGTTGAATATAAAAGTATACACAATCATTTGATATTTTTTGCGTTGTGCAAACCACTCAGATTACTAAACAATCTCTTCATATATATTTGTATAAATGAGTAAATAAAAAAATAAAATAAATGCTATTAAAACATTTTTTTCAATATGTTATCTTTTTTTTTAAATTTAAATTTCTTATACATTATGCTGTGGTTTGTTTGAGTGTAAAAATAGAAAGGGAGTGAGATTTAAGGCACTCACCCTATCTGATAAAGATGAGCGCGCACGTGTTCTCATTGGTATGTTCTGTATTGGTTCTTTTGCCTTGAAAAATCCTTTAAACCATTTATATATGTAGAGGCAGGACTTGGGACTGGGGATCAAATTGAATGGAATGGGTAAAGTAGCACTGTTGTCAAAATATGATATCCATAATTGGGCTCGAGCAAACTTCCATTCCACGTCCTCGTCATTCTAGCAACAAAAAACAAATGAAATGATATGCATAATCTCTATGAATTGTGTATGTGCATGTGTCTCTGTGTACATGTACATAGACCTATAATGTATATATTGTATATACATTCCATCTATAGGTTTTCTACTTGACTGTTCCATTACAAAAAGGTCTACTGCATTATTACTGAAAATGACGGAAATTTATAATAAAGTTGCTTTAATTTAAAATTTAATTAACATCTAATCAAATCCATGTGTTTACAAGACACAAGATAATTTAATAAATCAAACATGTTAAATAAGAATTTCATACTTGGATGATACAAAGACCATGGGTAGGGAATTCCCATTAGCTAACAGAAACAAATACACCCCCAACTTATTCTAAGTGACGTAACGAAATCGTTATTAGTTTACAAATAACACGTGAAATTAATTTAAATGTTACGCAATTCTTACAAAAATTACATGATTTTCTTCAGAAAAGAGTCATACATAACCAGCTCAATTGCTAAGGTGGCCAGAATGTAGTAGGAAGGTCATCAGAATCAGAGGGGATGGAACGACCTCTGTCGGGGAGCGTAAGTTAGTGGATGCCCATGGCAACCGTCGGAGAGGTCTGCTCCCCCACCAGCCCCGACAAGAGAGTTTAAATTCTTGTTTAATCAAGTTTTAGAGTCTTTGTAAATATTACACAAGCTCAGCCCAGGCCCCTCCCCTCTAATTGACACCAACACTGGTCCGAATCCCAATGGGGAAGTTTTGATAACATGCATGCAAATCCCCCCGCCCCATGATTGATTTGCGTATTTTACCTCAATTTCTTGATACGAGTTTGACATCATAGCAATAAGCATGTTCAGCATAACAAGGACCATGACCACGTGGTACAGCGCAAAAAGTATGGTACCAACTATTTCGGTGATGCTATAACAATCATCCACAGACGATAGGACTATAGGAATATCTCTACTGACCGACCCAAACAACGCCCAGAATAGTGTTAAGAATGTATTGCTAATTCTGGTAAGAAGACAAAAAAATATATATATATATATCAGTATTAAAAGTTGATTTTTTATTTATTATTATTATTACTATTATTATTACAATTATCATTATCATTATAATTATTATATATATATCATTATAATTATGATTATTATAAAATAAATTAATCTAATTTTAATTATTTATAAATAATAAATATTTAGTTGTTTTGTTCCTCCATTTATTTATGCATCCATCCATCGGTCCATTGTTATTTTGTACTTACGATCCAAATGCATTTTCCACTTCTTGACCTGGTATAACACTTATCGGATGATACCAATAAAGATTATACATAGCACAAAGAAAGGCTACAAAAACAAGTCCGAATACGATGCCGAAGCGGAGAATATCACCCAACATGCGACCTAGTGAGATTTGAAGTGGGCCTAGAAATTCACTAGCCGCTAAAACTTCCGTAACCCGTGTAAAACTAATCACGTTTGCTAATGCATAAAGTCCTTCAGCTAGAAAAACGGGGTCGTGTGGATCCCAGCATTTACGATCTGAAAATATATAATTAATATTATAAATGTTTAGGAGTACTATCTGCGGGAAGAAATCTTGAAAGAAAAGCACTAAAGATTAATTAAAATGGATCAACCAATTAAAACACAGATCAAAACATTTCAGTTTTGGTTGTTTTAAAGGCTTTATGAAAATCATTTTGATTACAAGTAAATATAAGAGTGCATGCAACATCGGAATAGTATGTTTTATGCTCTCTTTATTGGCGATGAAAACTTCATATTATCTTTAATTCGACGATTAAGTTCGTTAAATTATGGTTGAATCATTACTCACCAGACGACAGGTAATAAATATGCCGATTAACCACACTACTGTTTGACTCCAGACCTTCACATGCGTCGGGGTCATTGAAATAGTCTATTGCTTTCTGCGCTGAATGATAGGAGACAAATTTCAGGATGAAGCTTGTAAAATAGAGGTTCAATATGGCTATATCAAGCCAATTCCAAAAAGAAGATAAATATATACGACTACCTTCCAACCAGACCTGTTTCAGTTCGTTCCAAAACATACCTTTAAAAGATATAGTAACACAGTCACTACAATTAGTATGAGTTTTCATTTGTTTCATCGATTATACCATATTTGTATTATGCATAGTTTAGCTGCTGCATTTTCGGATGCTGCCGATACAAAGGCATAGGCCTATGTTCAAATGCATAAATAGAATAAATATAAACATAAAACGAAGTAAAAGAAAGCAAAATTAGGAGAAAAAAAATAAATATTCAGTACAATGTGAAGTTAACATGTACGAACCTACTAAAAAAATTATAATGATAATATCAAAAGCATTTGGCCTTGTAAAGCGTAACAGCCTATATTTGTTGCCACAATTTGGGGAAATGTTGAGCCAGTCGTCGAGGGCGCTACAGTTTTTTGCAAAAGTATAGAAATCTTCGTCGGTCAAATGGTCACCGTTATTAAATATTGTTTCTGTGTACTTTGATTGAAAGAAGAGTAGAGACAGATAAATAAGGTACGTTCCTGAATGCACAATAAACTTCACTAATGGAGTCCGGACGAATTTTCCAATCTGAAAAACAATGTAAAGGGATATCAATTAATGAACTGATTAATTTACATTGCTCATAACTTTCCTATTTATACATTTTAAAATTGACGAATTTTTCCATCTGTAAAACATTGTGAAGGGATTGGTCTTGTGTTTCTCTCCCTGTTTTCTAAATAATAAATTAACTCAGAAATCTCCGTAGTATAATATATTGGGGGGATTGTTAAAAGCACTCAGTGAAAGTAACGTTTATCCCAATAACATTAATATTAGATGTTTTACCATTAAAGTCATACATAAATGCATGCATACATACCCTACTATGTGGAGCTATGATATAAATAAATGCTAGTACTGGTAGTGTTAGAAAAACTAATAGCGTCATTATAGACTTGTATACGATATTGCCTTGCCTCCAGCCGGGCATTCCTTTGTACCAGAGCGTCGCAAGTAGATGTTGGCAGTGCGGATGGGCCACAAACTATAGCGAAAGTAAAGAAGAAAACAAAACAAAAAATAAATATGTTCGTACGTAATTCATCCAGTGGAAATAGGACTTTAAATAGTCGAAGACAGACAGACTAACTGTTACAGTATAACCAGTAGGCCTATCCGATGGAAATATCCCATTAAAGTTCATCGTTGCAACGAATTGAAAAATATATTCCAGAATAATCAGTAATAATAGTTAAAATGATGTATGTTTACATATTATTTATTTGTGGAAGTTAATTTTTAGGCTTTTTAATTATTATTGTGTTATGTTTTGCTTTTTATCTTTATCATATTTTTATATTATACACATTTTATAATTGGTGTTTACATTGTTGGATATTTGAATAAAATACAAATACAAAACATTTTAATAATTTTGGATTTACTACGGTATCTTTTTGTTTTATTAAAAATTGATGAATCATCTTGCTTCATGAGATATAAAAAAAAAACCGCGCTCGTGGGAACCATTGTGTTTGCACTGAACAAAGATTTTGTGTTTCTGGTTCTGTTCATTTACCATACTATGATGTCAAAAAAGTTTATAAAGCTTTGTAATTGAGACCTTTTCTTACTTTTGTTATGATAATTGCTGTTTCATTTATTTGTACAATATTCACATTGTACTTTTTTTTAAAAGAAAGGCAATAAAAAATGTTTGATTTGAATATTTCTGAATTTTGAACACGTCTTTTTACAAGATTAATGTCACGACCCTTGAATCTATAGACAAGAATATCAACTACTAAACTACAACGCTACTCAGATGTCTAGTTTCGTTGTGTAATTTGCTTACGGCTTTCTGCTTGTAAATTATGGCTTGCTTTACTCTTCCAAGATCTAACGTTCCAGTTTCTTTCGACTCGTTGTCGTCTGTAACGTTTTCAAGAGTTGTACCATCCATATTCAATAGCGTTTCGACGTCTTCTGTACTCTGACACATCTCAAGCAGATCAGAAGCATACTTCTTGCACTGTTTCGACAAATCTCGATATTGGTTCTGTTTAGATAATCCAAAAATAAAATTTCAATAAAATGAGTCTCAAGTTATTGAGCTCTAGACACAGGTAAACTAATTTAATTGCTGTTTGTACTCAAATTTACTTAAAAAAGCTAACGACTTCTTCTCATGGTACTTCAAAATTATTCAACAAAATAACTACAGGCAAGTAACTAGTACAGTATTTTAAAAAGCTTTTCTCAGTGCATGATAAAAAAAAAAACAGAAAAAAAACTACTCAACCAAAATGCCAACGATATTTGAATTCCCTAAATTCTTCAAATTTTTTTCGTTCGTTTGTTGGATTCCAATTAAATTATAATGAAATGAATTCTTGTCTAGATGTTTACATTTCAAAAGAAAAAAGATCATCTTCTATATATTATCAGGACGTAGCCTGGCAGTTTAAGGTAACTCTTCTTGAACAATCATTTCCAACATAATAAAAAGGAATTTCATCTTCTATACATTATCCTGTACACTTATTCTACCTTTCATTTCATTACTGAAAGTTTTTTAAATATGTATTAAGGACATAATAATAAGATACAACACCAAATGTAGTAAGTACAGATAAGGATGACAATGGCTAATCAAAAGATTTGATTCATCACAAAGTTCACTTTTAAAACTAGATGTCCTCAATCTAATCTTACAATTGATCTCATTAGGCCTAGCCTAGTAGACTGTAAGGCAACTCTTCTTAAACAATCATTCTCAACATCATTAATTAATTTCGCCAAAACCATAATGAAAGTACAAGGATCAAGCACAGTCCGCGCAGAACTCGTCATTGTTTTAAAAATAAAATTTATTAATCTAGACAGGCATGGCAAACATATGAAGAATGATTTACCTTTCTTAACTAGCACTTGACAAGTTTAGGTAATCACATCTATCACAAGACCATTCCAAGCAACAATATTATCTGTATTGAGATCAGCCAACCAATAAAACTGATATGTTACAGATACACAAAATTACAAACGCAACACAGCAAAATTTTAAATGTAAATGTGTCTTCAGAATCAGTATCCAAAACTTCGAAAACGATTTTAGAAGACCAATTGTCCAACTTCTAACTGTGTAATTGCAACATACGCTCTATATGATCATGAACCTACCCACAAACAACACTATGAAAGCTGGCCACAAGCTTGGCAAATCAGAAAAGTGCGATAATACGCATGTCATAGAGGGCGGTAGGTAGGTTCTGCCATAAATCTCTGTCCCTTCTATGGGTGATACCAACATACTACTTGGACAAATAGCTCGGAAGATCTTGTGTTCGGATGCCGATGAGAACAAACGTTTGCTTTAAAAAGCAAACGTAAAACCTCGAATAGAAGTATAATGGCCTTAATCCCTAGAAGAAGTTCACCTCGAATTGAAGCCCCCTCTTCGTTTGCAAAAGTAGCCTCGAAAAGAAGCCCATGGGCTTCTTTTCAAGATAGCATGGGCTTCTCTTCGAGATAGTACAGTACATACACTGTATATGTATTTCAAATAAACAAAATAAAATAAAAGCATGCTTCTTTTACATAGTAGTTTAGGTGATTTAATGCCAGTCTATACACTCTATGATACAGACTGATGTTACAGTGTCCCTGTGTATTGTTTTATAATAGTAATACCCAAAATGTAAAACATTCATTTTGAAAAGAGCGCCCCCACCCACTTCCTTTACTTTGCAAAGTAGCCTCGAAAAGAAGCCCATCTCGAAAAAAATAATAATAATTAAATAAAAGAAAAATCCCAATGATTTTATTCGAGGTTTATGGTTTATGCACGGGATTTAAATACAAAGTATTTGTAGATATAACATTATAACAAAAGTACGTTGCTATTAATCTTCATTTTTCAACTCTCTGGCATTGTTATAATATAGACTAAGTATTTATTTACTACTTGTTTCAAACCGAGTAGATACCATAATAATTGTATCAGTCGGTATTATATGATAGATGGTACAGATATAATGTGAGTTTTATCATCAAAGTAAATTACACATTATTCTGTTGTGGTTTTGTTCGGAAGATCTTGTGTTCGAATGCTGATGAGAACAAACTTTTTTCTTTAAAAAGCATGATTATAAGCCTATTATTCTAGAGGATTTAAATACAAACGTATTTGTAGACATATAACATCTTAACAAAAGTACATTGCTTTTTTCATTTTTCAACTCTATCTGACATTTTAAATCAGGACGTAGCCTGGCAGTTTAAGGTAACTCTTCTTGAACAATCATTTCCAACATAATAAAAAGGAATTTCATCTTCTATACATTATCCTGTACACTTATTCTACCTTTCATTTCATTACTGAAAGATTTTTAAATATGTATTAAGGACATAATAATAAGATACAACACCAAATGTAGTAAGTACAGATAAGAATGGCTATGCCTAATCAAAAGATTTGATTCATCACAAAGTTCACTTTTAAAACTAGATGTTCTCAATCTAATCTTACAATTGATCTCATTAGGCCAAGCCTAGTATACTGTAAGGCAACTCTTCTTAAACAATCATTCTCAACATCATTATTTAATTTCGCCAAAACCATAATGAAAGTACAAGGATCAAGCACAGTCCGCGCAGAACTCGTCATTGTTTTAAAAATAAAATTTATTAATCTAGACAGGCATGTCAAACATATGAAGAATGATTTACCTTTCTTAACTAGCACTTGACAAGTTTAGGTAATCACATCTATCACAAGACCATTCCAAGCAACAATATTATCTGTATTGAAATCAGCCAACCAATAAAACTGATTTCTTACAGATACACAAAATTACAAACGCAACGCAGCAAAATTTTAAATGTAAATGTGTCTTCAGAATCAGTATCCAAAACTTCGAAAACGATTTTAGAAGACCAATTGTCCAACTTCTAACTGTGTAATTGCAACATACGCTCTATATGATCATGAACCTACCCACAAACAACATTATGAAAGCTGGCCACAAGCTTGGCAAATCAGAAAAGTGCGATAATACGCATGTCATAAAGGGCGGTAGGTAGGTTCTGCCATAAATCTCTGTCCTTTCTATGGGTGATACCAACATACTACTTGGACAAATAGCTCGGACGATCTTGTGTTCGGATGCCGATGAGAACAAACGTTTGCTTTAAAAAGCATGATCATAAGCCTAAGGTAAAACCTCGAATAGAAGTATAATGGGCTTAATCTCTAGAAGAAGTTCACCTCGAATTGAAGCCCCCTCTTTAGTTTGCAAAAGTAGCCTCGAAAAGAAGCCCAATGGGCTTCTTTTCAAGATAACATGGGCTTCTCTTCGAGATAGTACAGTACATACACTGTATATGTATTTCAAATAAACAAAATAAAATAAAAGCATGCTTCTTTTACATAGTAGTTTAGGTGATTTAATGCCAGTCTATACACTCTATGATACAGACTGATGTTACAGTGTCCCTGTGTATTGTTTTATAATAGTAATACCCAAAATGTAAAACATTCATTTTGAAAAGAGCGCCCCCACCCACTTCCTTTACTTTGCAAAGTAGCCTCGAAAAGAAGCCCATCTCGAAAAAAATAATAATAATTAAATAAAAGAAAAATCCCAATAAAAAAAAAAAAAATAATAATAATAATAATTAAATAAAAGAAAAATCTCAATGATTTTATTCGAGGTTTTACGGTTTATGCACGGGATTTAAATACAAAGTATTTGTAGATATAACATTATAACAAAAGTACGTTGCTATTAATCTTACTTTTTCAACTCTCTGGCATTGTTATAATATTGACTAATTATTTATTTACTGCTTGTATCAAACCGAGTAGATACCATAATAATTGTATCAGTCGGTATTATATGATAGATGGTACAGATATAATGTGAGTTTTATCATCAAAGTACATTACACATTATTCTGTTGTGGTTTTGCTCGGAAGATCTTGTGTTCGAATGCTGATGAGAACAAACTTTTTTCTTTAAAAAGCATGATTATAAGCCTATAATTCTAGAGGATTTAAATACAAACGTATTTGTAGACATATAACATCTTAACAAAAGTACATTGCTTTTTTCATTTTTCAACTCTATCTGACATTTTAATAATTGATAATTGAAAAATACGGATGGATAATGCGAGTTTTATTATCAAAGTAAATTACACATTATTCTGCTGTGTTTTTTGGAAAATGTATTTAATACTTCTTACATGAGACTTGTTGCGCAATTCTACTCTTAATGCAAACATTACCAGTATATAACATCCTTGGTTATAATGTAAGTCTAATAGCAGTATAAATCCATAAAATCATTCGAATGTTAATGGTCGTCAAGAATAAACGGGGTAGGCTATGTGTATAAGGCAAAGTTTTTTACTCTTGTGCATATTACTAAGAATGATAACCAACCTAACATTAAATTACAGCAGATACGTTATTAGTTATACCTTCAACGTTTACAATGGTGTTGTCTGTCATACTAAAAGTGATGACCTAAACAATCTTGCAATAAACAGACAGTATCTGGCTCCAACTGGCTGGTCTACTCCTTTATGATTTGGCAATAAATTGAAAACATTGCAGAAACTTCATTTACGATTCTAGATATTTCAACTTCTAAGAAAAAAGGGACGAGACATTTGAATTATCACTGTATGTATGTGTGTAGGTGTGTGGAAATGTAAAATTTGAAGCAGATACATTTTAATGTTTTATGTTGAAATACAGCGTAACGCCATGCACGATAACCATATTATCCACCCGCCGTTTTATTTTTTGGATTAAATAGCCGAGTTGGACCTTGGTAAAACATAATTCAATAATGATGTCATTTAATCCATGCATAGGCCTATTATGAGAAACGGCTGTAGAAGATGATAATAGGCCTAATATTTATTTGACATTACACATTTTATATGAGTGACAGCACACAAGCAAGTGGCGCAGTCAATCTTAGCTAATGAATGAAGACGGAAAAAACAAATGTATGAGCTTCAACTAAAGGAAAAAAAAAACAATTTTGAGTTAAAAATAAATCATAAACACCCCTCAGATTGTTGGATTCAACCGTAGCGAGCACACGTATTTTGTCGGCTCTCTCTGGCTTTGGTATTTGTGTTTGATACGGTGAATACAGGGACTGGTTCGTCGGTGTTGTGGTCGTTTGTTTTTCTCAAAGGGTGTAACAGTGTTAGTAAAGAAATTAAAGATGTCACAAATAAAGACAAGGAAAAGCAAAAAACAACAAGAAGAATAAAAGGAAACACAAAAGAACACTGCGTCAAATTCCGAAGTATTAGACATGCATTTAAATGAAGGTGCAAGCTGTGGTGGTGGAGATATTCGACATTACGGTGCTCTCACAGTAGAAACAATGGACAGCACAGCAAAAGCAGCTGCAGCAATGGACAAATAGAAGGCCTAACAGAAAGTAAAGACGAAAGCAATTTTGAAACGTATGTTAGAAAGACTTCTAACAGATCAATAGTAATTTAGTAAAGGCTCTAATAGAGGGTCAGAAACGTATTAAAAGGCATTTAGGAGAGGCCAGGCATAGAATACCAAGGTGGTCGAATTGACGTACAAGAAAAAAGAACTGACGATATTGAGAAAAGAATTGAGGCGATAATGGTAGAAAACAAAGCCTTAACGGAAACAGTGGCAAGACAAGCCAGTGATATAAATAATTTGGAGAGTTTTTCTAGGAAAAACAACTTGAGGATAATTGGTTTGCCAGCAATACCAAATGATAGAGATGAAAACACTAATAAAATAGTATGCGAGTTGCTTAAAGCTAAATTTAACTTGGCAGATA